ACCGATGAGGTTAAAATTGAACTTTTTGGCCGGAATGAGCAAAGGTACGTTTGGAGAAGAAGGGGCACAGAATTTAATGAAAAGAACCTCTGTCCAACTGTTAAGCATGGGGTTGGATCAATCATGCTTTTGGGTTGTGTTGCAGCCAGTGGCACAGGGAAAATCTCACGAGTAGAAGGAATAATGGATTCAATAAAATTTCAGCAAATTTTGGATGGTAACTTGATGCCATCTGTGAAAAAGCTGAAGTTAAAGAGAGGATGGCTTCTACAAATGGATAATGATCCTAAACACACCTCGAAATCCACGGGGGATTACATCAAGAGGCGTAAACTGAAGGTTTTGCCATGGCCTTCACAATCTCCTGACCTCAACATAATTGAAAATCTATGCATAGACCTTAAAAGAGCAGTGCGTGACAGACAGCCCAGAAATCTCAAAGAACTGGAAGACTTTTGTAAGGAAGAATGGGCAAAGATACCTCAAACAAGAATTGAAAGACTCTTGGCTGGCTACAAAAAGCATTTACAAGCTGTGATACTTGCCAAAGGGGGCAGTACAAGATATTAACTCTGCAGGGTGCCCAAACTTTTGCAGACGCCATTTTTTGTTTTCTGTTATTTTGAAAGTGTAAATGATGGAAATAAAACCTAACTTTTGTTGACATATTATAAGAATGTCTAATCTGTAATTTGATGCCTTTTGGAGATTTTTCCATCTTTCCTTGGCTTCTTTATGCACATTAATACACATTTTTAGCTGGGGTGCCCAAACTTTCGATCCCCACTGTATATATATATATATATATATATATATATATATCAGGGGCGGACTGACAACTCATGGGGCCCCAGGGCAATAGGGGATCATGGGGCCCGTGTCCTCACCCACACTCAAACCACACCCAAGAAAAGCCTATAAAAGGTACCAGGGGCATCTCATGGGGCCCCCTACTTACCCAGTGCCAGAGTTTCCGAATGGGCAGTCCGCCCCTGACACACACACACACACACGTTTTCTACACTTTCTCTTGAACTTATCAGGTCCTTACAGTGTATGAAGCACTATGTAAAGGATATAAATGCTACAGAAGACAAGTTCTCTTTAGACTGGAATTACTCTGTATGCCGGCATTAGTACTAAACCACCAACCAAGGTGGGCCATAGCATATTCATTCAGATTTTGTCATTCCATCATTTCAGCTTCTTCTCTTCAACTTTTGTAACACAGGCAACTTTAGTCATGGATCCTATTGGATGAATGGAGCCATGGATGAATTTTATGTAGCCACCTTTAAGTTGGACGCTAGCAAACATAATTATGGAACAGCTCATAAAACCCTTCCTGCTCTCGCCACTCCCACACTTCACAATCCTTCAGCATACGCCCAGTTCACACACCTGTGTTGTAGATCAAAGGAAAGTGCGGGAGGGCGCACGAAAGCACATATCCACTTTATTATATAGAAAGCAGCTTAAAAACACCATACTGTATGCCAGTGGGGGAAAAAAGGTTTACACGTATTGCGCCAACCTCATAGCTTAATCATAACTCTCAGTTTTTTGCTGTTGTCTATGTCAAGGATGACTTCTCTCTACTGAGAGCAAGTTTCTGGCTTATAATTCCTAATCTTACCTGGAAGACTAATAAGATTCCATGCAGATCTTTGTTACTGATAAGTCTCTTTCTTGACCCAGCTGCACAAAACTACTGCGACTTCCTTCTGTAGCTTCCAAATTGTTTCTGCTTGGCAGCAGTCTTAGGGACCCTGCCAGATGGTTAGCAGAAGCCCACCGATGTTATACAAAACCACATACTCAAAGAGGTGCTGGGAACGTTTAAACTTGTATGTGTAGTCAGATGAAGGAAAACTTCAAACAAGCTCTGGCGAGGCAGCTCCCGAACTGGACACCCAACAGTAGCTCAGCCTATAAAAGTACAGAAAGGAGCGCCATACCAAATCAGAATAAAGAGTCCAAAACCATTTTAATTGTTGATAAAAAAAAGACATATAAAAACAACCAATGCATTTTTTTTTGAAGGGGGGGGGGGGGCACCACTCCTCTTTTATCAGGGTTACAAGAGTAAGCAAAATACATAGTCATAGTGATGAAGATATGAATATATACAATAAAATCTATAACATCACATAGTAACAAAGGACTTGTCACATGGACTTTGGTTTTCTTGGTTGAATTGTAGAATGGTAAAAGTTGCAGGCGATATACACTCACCGGCCACTTTATTAGGTACACCTGTTCATTTTCTTAGTAACACGCAGAATCGCTGATCAGCCAATCACATGGCAGCAACTCAGTGTATTTAGGCATCTGGGACGTGGGGAAGACAACTTGCTGATTTTAAAACCGAGCAGAATCAGAATGGGGAAGAAAGGGGATTTAAGTGACTTTGAACATGGCATGGTTGTAGGTGCCAGACGGGCTGGTCTGAGTGTTTCAAAAACTGCTGATCTCCTGGGATTTTCACGCACAACTATCTCTAGGGTTTACAGAGAATGGTCCAAAAAAGAGAAAATATTCAGTGAGCTGCAGGTGCGTGGATGAAGATGCCTTGTTGGTGTGAGAGGAGAATGGGCAGACTGGTTGCTACAACATTCAAATGGTATGGTCAGAATTTGGCATAAACAACGTGAAAGCATGGATCCATCCTGCCTTGTATCAACAGTGCAGGCTGGTGGTGGTGGTGTATTGGTGTGGGGGAGATTTTCTTTGCACAAACAAAAATTCTTTGCACACTGATGAAATATGATTTATATTAAAGAAATAAATACAAAAACCCTAAGGGGTGGATTTACTAAGGTAAACAGATTGTTCACTTTGCATGTGCAGTTGCAACCAATTGGCATCCAATCAGCAATTGCAGTCAATGGCTGCGGGTGCTGACCAGTGTGTTGTGGCAGAGAGGCACTCCCCCAGTCAGAACAGAATTGCTCAGCGGGTAGATCGCTGTGCTAACATCATCAGTTTTTTTTTTTTTTTTTAGTTCAGCCTCCTGGGTTGAGCAAAATAAAAAAACAACTGCCTGTGTGGGCCAGGCTTAAAGGATACATTCACCTTTTAGACAAAAATAATAAATGCACATTTTTTTGCAGCCAAAAAATGTGCATTTATTATTTTTGTCTACAGGAGCATGGAAAGCATTGCACCAGTGATCAGTAGATCGCTGATGGAATGCAGGTCTCCTGCAGACCTGTCAGAATATCTGCTTGACGTACGTACAAGGCCACAACCGTTAAGGCTGTCGGGACTTGCAGTTCATTCATTCACGGAAGTCCGTGAATGAATGATGCAGCCGTATGGGTTGGGCTGCGCTGTTTGAAAATATGACAGATAGTACGGGGAGACTTCTCCCCATACTATCTATCAGAGGGAGGAGGGCAGCGGCTGCAGCTATGGGAACATGTTACATGTTCCCAAAGGTGAACATATCCTTTAAGAATATATAAAAAAAACGTAATCAAGCGCTGGGTGTAAATAGTAAGATAAATAGCCGCTAGCATAAAAGGACCTTCAAATGCGTATAAATATATGTAAAATATGCAGCGCTCATGAACCTACAGGAATATAAAAGGTATCAGGTAAAATCTAGTCAATAAACTTGTAGTGCACAATAATCGTGACTCCTGTGATAAAGTCAATGAACTAGTTACTTTGATAAAGTGTCTGAACACGAAACGCGTAAGTTGCCCCCAAGCTGAATGTACACACCGCATGGCTTTTATGGATGGCCGGTGGCCATCTTGGATTTTTATATAAGTGTGATTCATCCTATGCACTACTATTTCAACTAATAAAGATTACTACACTATTGGAGGCTTTTCTGGGGCTCTTTTTTTTTGCATGGGAGCCCCCCCACCTTTTTGAAGGTGATTCCTGACTCCTGTCTACCTGATGTATGGTGCTATATATGATCCCCCTGGTGGCTGTCATCGACATCTCTGGAGGCTGGATCCTGATGTATGACACCTGGTGGCTGCTGTATAGATGACCACCACCGTTTGAAGTGTTCCAGATCCAGAGAACCAGGAGTAGGTCTTATATACTCCATGTGCAAGCAACTCTGCTATCTGGTTAGTGCAATCTATACCCATTTCCATTATCACAGGAGTCACGGATATTCTGCATAACTAGTTCATTGACTTTATCACAGGAGTCACGATTATTGTGCACTACAAGTTTATTGACTAGATTTTACCTGATACCTTTTATATTCCACCAATTCAGTTTTGGCTTCTCATATGGTATATCCGGTTTTATATGTTTTTTTCCTGTAGGTTCATGAGCGCTGCATATTTTACATATATTTATATCCTTTAGGAAACAAAGCTGCTGAAAGCTAATTGGCTACTGAGAAAAAAAACAATAAACAAAACTGCTATGCAATGATTAATTGGCAAGCTACTGGACTAATTTTCTTTACTTTAACCGGTTGGGGGGGGGGGGCTGAAGGATAGAAAATCGCTTGATTCCCCCATCAACACAGTCAGTGGTAATGGGGGAATCCTTCCCACTGCTCTATTGTATACTGACAGTGGGAAGTTGACTAATTTGCTGTTGGAATAAGTGCCAGAATCTAAGTGCTAGACAAACATTAGAAAATCAAGCAGCTGAAACAAAACTATTTAGTAGCTCTATATGAGTTAGGCTGGCCATACACTATACAATTTTCTTACTATTTTCTGCCCAATTTCCTTTAGATTTACCTTCAACTATGTAGTGCAAGGGCCTGCCTAATTGGATACAATTGAAAGTGTTGTTTAGGTTTGACCTCATATTATATAGCTTTTGGTAAATCTAAAGCAAAATTCTCAAGAAAGGTATATAATATATGGCCAGCCTTAGCCTGTCTGCATATAGAGCAGCACCTGCAGACACTATGCCTAACAAAAGTGGTCCCAGTAGTTGAATACACGGGTCAGTGGGTTACCTGAGGCTGATTAACCTCCCTAGCGGTATTCCCGAGTGTAGCTCGGGGTAAAATGTTAGTGCCAAAAGCTGTAACCCCGAGCTACACTCGGGCTTACCATGCGGCGCTGCATAGGGAGTCCCTGCAGAGCTTACCTTGTCCTTCGCTCCTGCGATGTGTCCCCTGCAGCATCCCCGGCCATCTCCTCCGGCCGATGCCAGCACCTGGCTTCTGTGTTCCGGGCCCTGTGACGTCGGGACGTACGGGCGCCGCCACTGGCGGCGGGAAATTTGAAAATTTTGAAAAATGTCATTTTTTTTCAAAAATTTTTCATAGTAAAACATTGCTGTTTTAACCCATTTCACATACATTTTGTCCCTAGTGCTTTGTCCTGTGCCCTGCCTGCATTTTGTCTGTTCTTTCTGCCTGGAAACTGGGAAATGTCCATTTGGATTATATTATATTATTTTTTATGATTATTAAATTATAATTTATGATTTCGTGTTTCAAATTTTATCCTACCACGGATGTTTACTAGACTCTTGTTCGGACAGATTTTAGTGAGTTATTCCTAAAAATTACAGCCTACAATAAAAAAAATACATATTTCCATGCAAAATAATGGGTACCGCTTTCAGCACTAAAAATCCTGAAATAATCATACCCGCCAGGGAGGTTAAGTAGATGTATTCATGTCTGCAGGTGTGCATGTACGAGGAAAGCAGGAGCTGCCAGGACTTTATTCCATGACAAGATGTCGTGACAGTACTCAATGATTTTCTATAGGAATGCACCAAAATTCCACGAAATTCCGGTGCACGAAACATTTCGGTCAAAAACACCCCATTTAACTGTCGGCCGAAATGAAAAAAAAAAAGGCACTGATACAGGTGCCGAAAAACACTCCGCCCCTCAAAGCCGGGCATCTGCTGTCGCCGGCCGCCTGCCCGCTCGGTAGTTCAGTCTTACACTGGGAAACCCATCAATCCTGGCGTTGGGCATAGAGATGAGAGAGAAGGAAAGATGGTCTGCCACACATGTCTACATGCCCTTGGAGGACCAGAGAGCGATGTTCATCTTCCAGTTCCGGCCATTTTTTTTTTTTTAAAGTACTAGATCAATGCTTTTTTTGATCTAATGCTTTACATTGCAGACGAGAGAGATGTGGGGTCTTATTTACCCCATATCTGTCCATTAAAAGAGGAACCTGCCACTTACTTATTCTATATCCACAAGGGATGCATACATTTCTCTTATATCACAAGGATGCCATACATTTTCACGGTGATAAGAAATAAAAGTGATAACAATTTTTTTAAAAGGAACAGTGCAAAAAAAAAATAAATTTTTTTTTTTTTTTAAAGTTTAAAGTGCCCCCCGTCCGCCTCTAGACCTCCTCTGTAACTTTAACACTGCTAACCTGTAGAACATTTTTAAAGCATCACTCATTGGAGATTTTTTTAAGTACCGCAGTTTCATGCCATTCCACATAGCGTACGCAATTTTAAAGCGTGACATGTTGGGTATCTATTTTTACTCGCCAGAACATCCTCATACATATTTTTACAAAACACTTGGGGTATATATTGTTTTTTTAATTAAATGTGTATTTTTTTTCAAAAAAAAATATTCATTTTTAAAAACTGCGGCGCATTCCGGTTGCAGTTTTCGGCCAAGTGCATTTTGAATTTTTGGTTTTGGCACCCCTATTTTCATTTGGTGCACCACTAATTCCGATAGTGGTCTTATTTGTATCAGAGCTGCAGTGAGAAGCAATATTGATATCTTAAATGAGTAACTACTAACACTTTTGTTGAGAAAAAAACATTCCCACTCCCCCTTTGTTGCAGATTCCTACCTTTTGAGTTATTCTGAAGAAATATCGTGGTGTCTGTGTCCATGTGCAGAGTGAATCTGTATGGGAGTGATTTAATAATTATCAATCAGCTGCTGCACCTGCAGGGTTCTTAATTAGGAAAGCTGGCAGTGTCCTGCTTTCCTTTAGATGTGATTTCCCTTTGGGAGTATGTCACCAAAAAGACATTTTTGTTGCTGGGGATGCTCAAAATCTGACTTGTGTATCTTAGTGCAGATGTCTGGTAATATTCAGCCAATCACACAAGCAGGAAATTACATTTCTGGGGGTCATACTGTTCACCATCTGTGTACAGAATGGCCACAAGGTTGACATATTGCATTGTATTTTACAAAAACATGACTGGTGCGTGCACTGCAGATTAAAAAATGAAACAGGCCATTTTTAATAACATTCTATTATACAATATGACTTGTGTAGCAGTTGTATATACACTGTATTTTTTCCCACGAATGTAGAATTACCCCTTTAACATTAGACAGAAATGGGTGGAATAGTGAGAACTAAACCTCAACAACTTGGATGAGGACTCAGAGAATCGTGAAATCTGTATCAAAATAATGAATAACAACCAACGTTTGTGCCATGATATGATATAAAAAATAACAAGAGTAACAGAAACAGAAAGTAACCACATTGAGAGGATTACCTGTATTACGAGAACAGTATTGAACCACTGCTCATAGAGGGAAAACTTGACAGCAGCAATGGTCAGGACTGGCATTACTGATCTTTTAGGGTATAAATAGGAAAAATACGATGGAAGGGGTGGATGGAACAGGAGCCTGTTCTGGGGATTGGAGAAGAGGGACATTGATCGATGTGAAGGAGGGTGAGGGGGGAAGGTGATGAGAGGAGACTGAAAGTCCTGGGGCATTGGAGGCAAGAGTCTGGCAGAACCTACAGGGAAGGCCAAGTCAGTGTGAACCAGGAGGGAGTGGACAGTGCTAATAAGAAGATTGTGCTGTCTGCGGTAAAATAATTCTGAACTGAAAAGAAGTGTTAGTATTACCAATAATATATTAAAAAAAATCTAATTAATTAAGCAAGTTTATAATAAATGAATAATTAAATAGATGTATGTGACTGATTGATAGAAAAATATCAGCTAAGATAATAAATAATCACAGAAACATTAAGGAAAAGTAAAACAGTTTTTATCTTTATGAATGTTTTTGCCCATTCTTTTGCTCTAAAGAGGGGGCGTGGTATTGTACCTTTTTATATGACTTTTTTTTTATCAACAGTTCAATATATCTTGGACTCTTTTATCTGATTTTGGTCTGTAACCTCTGATGTTATGTCGTACCTTCAGAAGGAAAGGTTACTGCTCTAGTCATGTCCTGTTTGAACCCCACTGTCTCTTATCCCATTGTCTCAAGCATTGCCACAAGAAGGTCAGGGTGGCAAACAGAGCCTTTGTGAAGATTAAAGCCTTGTACACACAATGAGTTTAACAGATGAATTACTGTTTTTTTTTGGGTTTTTTTGCATGCTAGTCTCATATCAAAAATGAAGCAGTTACTAAAGTTATGAAGATTCTCATACAACAGAATACAGTTTTGGCAGTGATGTAATGTAATGTATTGGATTGCATCGTAATGTATTATTTTGTTTCTGGGCATGTGTGGTTTTGGTCTTCCATTTTTTTTTTCCAGGTGATTACTGTACTGATTAAACAAAAACTGTACGTTCTGGCATCGTACGAGAAATTTTAGTGTTTGTCCCTTCAAATAATTTCACATGAACTGTCATGATTGGCTCTTGAAAGCTGTGTGCTAATGATCAGATTATCATACGATCGCTTTGAAAGTGGTATTTTTCGTCTGATTTTCTTATTGTGTGTGTACTAGGCATTAGATTTTCAAACTGACTTTCTGAATAAAGAAAATGTGGGGCACTATATTGAGAAAGGAAGAAGCAGAAACTGTGACAGTAGAATGTTGCACCTGAGGGTATCTAGCAACCACCTGTGCCAGTTCACTGTAATTAGTAAGTGCTTGAAATGCTTTCTACGAGCATGAGAAAATAATGTGAACGCTATAGGGAGACTGGATTGCCATCAGTGAAAAAGTGAAACCTGTACCCTACACAGTGTGAAACGTACATATTTTAATTAAGAGGTTCATAAATGGGCTGGATGAACTCATTGATGAACTTAATTACCCCTTTAAACATTCACTACTTTGATGTACAAGCCCAGATAGTACAGACACTTACATGAAAGTAACATGCTATGTATCTAGAAATGGCCTTTGTGTTCATTTAAATATCCCGAAGTTAAAACTGTTTGTTAAGCCTGTTTATTGTACGAATGACCCAGGAGACAGGACAGATTATCGCTGCAATCCGGGGTGATTTCTGTACAAAACTCAGTGTTTTTTTTTCCTAATCTGTAGGCTAACTTTGTACTTGGGAATGTAATTGAAATGTGGGTGGATCGAATGGATAACATTACACAGCCCGAGAGAAGAAAACTTTCTGCCCTTGCTGTTATTTCTTTGCTGCCTTCACTTGACAGGTAAGAAGAAATTTATATTCTTTTTTTAAACACTTCTGGATATGAAGTGGGAATGATGATTGTTCTGTTTCAAATGACACTTTTTGCTTTGACATACTTCCTTTTACCCAGTCTATCTGGACAGTATGGTCATCTGCTGACTTGACACCACCCACAGGCAGCTCGACTCTTCAAGTGAAACACAGAAGTTAAATACAATGCAATTTTATTTAAGATAATTGCAATATAGAGGATGTTTTTCCAGTCTTTTGAAGAGTAAGAAGACTGTGACTTTCCTAAGCTCTGTCTCTGTGAAGTACTAAAACTAACAGAACATGGAAGAAACTGAACTAAATAGCACCAAACATAAGGGGAGGAAAGAGGAAGATATCAAATTACATTAGTAAACAAGTTGCAGTCACCCAAAACTGCCACTAGATATCAGCATATAACAAACAATGTTAACCTGATAACGTGCCAGAAAAAATACAAATAGGTAGGACAGAACACTCCCCTCCTGAAATGTTTAGATTTTACTTTAACCTAATATCAGTCCATAAAGGATGGGGCTAAAAAAGAAGCAAGAGAGGGAGAACATGCAAAATGTATATGCATAAGTCCAAAAAAACCATCTAGGGTGATCTTGATGTTGAAGTCTTGATATCTGAAATAGTACTTGAAGGCATCAAATCACTGCTTAACTGGTGGCAAAGCGTGCGTAACCACTTAGTTGTATATGTGGACAAGTCTTTCTTAATCTGAAAGTTTTCTGGATAGTTCTGTTATCTGAAGGCTCTGCTTTTCAACCTGTGAAGTGGAGAATCTTCTTGTTTAAAGACTGGGGAGAAGACTTTGATACATTTTCCAGGCTACAAACTGCCATCAAGATTCCTGGTGCGTTGCTTGAGCCAGGTCGGCTTAGATCTTAATAGATAGATATGCAACTGAATTGCTCTCGCTGGGACTTTTTATGAGAAGAAACATTTGTTTTGTATTTGCCAGGTGTACATCCATTGCTGGTAGGCCTGGCTTGGTTCACTTTGATCA